ACTGTAGGTTGTTGTGCATGTAAATGGTCTGCAAAGGCTAAATCCTACCTTTGGACTCCTTTGTTTACTTCCTGAACATGATGACATCACTATGTAACACTTACACTTCTATCGGCTGGCTCTCCAATGCATTGTACGTGATAGGCTAAGGGGCAAGTCATCTTTAAGTGGTTGACCAATCCCAACAGAGCCGGCCAGCTAACCAATCAGAGCAGACTGGGCTCTGGTTTCAGACAGAGGGTGAAAAGAGGTGCTGCAGCTCAGGCAGTATGAGAAAAATAAAGAGCTGTTTGAACATTAAAGCATGGAGACATGTCACAGGAGAGACAAAACATATGAACCTGGAAATGAGCGCAATATCTCTGCTTTAAATATTGTACTATCTGTGACATTTTCAACAACAATCCAAGCCAAAGTTAAAGATAAAAATAATACTTAGAAATCATAAAGTCTGGTCATCTCCTTGATATGGAAGACGAATAGGTCCACATGGGGAAAATGTAGTTCTGAGTACTTTTTTTGGAATTCAGAGTTTTTGTTCATAGAAATACCTATAAACACTTTAGGGAGAGAGTCCCGCAGGAGGAGAACCACACTTTCATCTCAGACTTCTGACTGTCGGGACATTGATAAAAAATTGCTAAATCATGAACAAATTGTTGCCTGATAAGATTATTCTTATTTAATTAAAAAAAAAATCTCAAAATGGTCTTCTGTTAGGATTGTGTGGGTGTGGTTGGATTGATTGATTGATAGATAGTGACTATCATTACATTCAGATTCATCAAGTGTCAAACTCTTGAAAGAATCCATGAAATCACCGTTTTCCAAACACAGTCCAGCTTTACACTCACAAAGTAGGAGGTTCCTTTATTTGTGTTTTGTCTCACTATAGTGAGACAAAACACAAATAAAGGAACCTCCTACTTTGTGAATGTGTTCATGATTCCTTTACTTTTAGATGAAATATTTAGATAAATGTCTAAAATGCATGTTTTCAGAGCCCTAAATGAAGTCCAAATACTGCTAATGTTGTTGGACAACAGCTTAGCAATAATCTAACGATCTAATGATCTGATGCGCAGAAAAGCTGCATACCTTTATGTTAGGGCGTATTAAATACAAAATACAATTCTTGTTCATGCATTCCCTGTTTCCTCACCTGCAGCTTGGCTCTTTCAGCGTAGTGGGAGATGTCTTTCCTACAGCCGGATCAATAGCAGGAGGAGACATATATCAGCTTTAATTAGCTCGGAGTCTGCACCTTCCTTTACATTTTCAGAGTTTTTGATTCAGTGTTGGTTGGCAAATATCGTAGCTAAACAGTAATTACATCATTATTTATTTATTCATTACCATACTATTTGAAGGGACGGGCCTGTCCTGTGTATGAATGACTGGGCGTGAATCCAAAAAGGTGGAGACATTTCACCCAAAACAATTTGTTCATGTTGTAATCACATGTTGTAATCACATGTTGTAATCACATGTTGTAATCACATATTGTAATCACATGTTGTAATCACATGTAATCACATGTTGTAATCACATGTTGTAATCACATGTAATCACATGTTGTAATCACATGTTATAATCACACGTAATCACATGTTGTAATCGCATGTTGTAATCACATATTGTAATCACATGTTGTAATCACATGTTGTAATCACATGTTGTAATCACATGTAATCACATTTGTAATCACATGTTGTAATCACATGTTATAATCACATGTTGTAATCACATGTTGTAATCACATGTTGTAATCACATGTTATAATCACATGTTGTAATCACATGTTGTCTCACTGCATGAGATACTTATATATATATGTAATATCCTATGTTTATGTATTTTTCAGTTTTGCAGTAGATCTAGTAAAGAATAATATTCTGTATATTTAATTAAATGTTTTCTTTCAATACTTATATATTATATAGTCACTATTTATATTTATATGTATATTTTTAATGTTTCACTATATTTTCAACCAATTTTAAAAAACTCTTGTGAAAAAAAAATCAAAACTTTGGATGACAAAAGTATATTTAATCTGATCTAATAAGGAAGTTATATTTTTGGAAAGCCATAAAATCGATATCCACCGGTGATATCCGTAATGAGCTACCTCCGTGCATTACCACAGCATCTGGCAATATATCGGACAGGGCTACTATGTTAAATTGTTTTAATGAGCATTTTGTGTCCTGTGGCTCTCTGTTTGATTCTGTTTCTAACTCTGCTTCTGTGAACACCACAGTCTGTGACTCTGAACAATGTGGTTTGGAAAACCCTTTCAGCTTTACTCCTTTTACTGTTGATATTGTTCATGAAGCTTTATCTAAGTTAGATCCTAAGAAACCGGCCGGTCCGGACAACGTAGAACCTTTCTTTTTCAAGATAGCTGCAGATTTTATTGCACCAACTCTTACTTCTTTTTTTAACCTCTCCCTCAGCACAAAGACAATTCCAAAAGTATGGAAGTCCGCTTATGTCCTGCCTTTACTAAAAGGAGGGGAGGCCACTTTATTAAATAATTATAGACCCATCTCTAAATTGTCAGTTCTGGCTAAGGTTCTTGAACGCCTAGTGAGTGAACAGGTAAAGATGTTTTTATGTACAAATGACATCCTGTCTAAACATCAGTCAGGCTTCAGAAAGCAACATAGCACCATCACTGCCACAATGAAAGTGGTGAATGATGTGGCGAGTATTTTAGATAATAAGCAGAGTTGTGCAGCTCTATTTATTGACCTGTCCAAAGCATTTGATACAGTCGATCATCGCATTTTGAAGCAGAGGCTAGTCAGTATTGGCATATCCAGCCATGCAGTAGGGTGGTTTGTGAACTACCTCTCTGAAAGGTCCCAATGTGTTCATTTTGATGGGCTGTCTTCTGAGTGGTTAAACATTACAAATGGTGTTCCTCAAGGTCCTGTTTTAGGTCCACTTTTATTCTCCATCTAAATCAATAGTTTAGTTGAAAATGTGGATGGAGCTACTTTACATTTTTATGCGGATGATACCGTGATGTACCTCCATTCAGGAGGCTGTTGTTAAATTACAGGCTGTTTTTAACATTATTCAGACTCAGCTCTCTGAACTAAAGCTTCTTTTAAATGTTGATAAAACCAAGGTAATGCTCTTTTCTAAAGCTAAAAGACTACATACACTGCTTTGGATATTGTTACTATGCAAGGACAAGTACTTGAAGTGGTTACCTGTTATAAATACCTAGGTATCTGGCTTAATGATTGTCGTGTGAACGTGTAATTTGTCGTGGATGAAGCTGGTGCA